CCCGCCTTGGCCTCCCAGAGTGCTGGGATTACAGGTGTAAGCCACCGCACCCGGCCTAGATGTTTTTTGTTTTGTCTGTCTTTTATTTAGTGTGTTCTTTTTCTCCTTTTTTTTCCCCCTGTACCTTTGCATGGATGATTTGTCATCTTTGAAGAAGGTCAGTGTTGGGGAGGGACTGGCGCGGCAGGCGGCATGGTCAGCCGATTCCTGACTCTTCACAAACACTTTCCCTGGGTGGTATGATTCTCTTTTGTCTTAGAAGAACACCCCTCCCCGTACCCTGTAAAGTCTCGTGTCCATACATTCCTATATGGTGGGGTAATGGTTGTAATTACTCCTTCCCTTTAAGGGAGCAGCTAAGAAGGAGACATAGGAGTCAGACAGATGGCGATCAAAACATTAGCTACGCTACTACTGAAACTAGACAGTGTTCTTAGATCTCCCCTGCTACTGTGCTTTCGAATAGTTTCCCCCCAAGTGTAAGTCTTGGGAAGAGCCACCGGAGGGAGAGTGGATGCCTCATACCTGTCACATCCCAACGATGGGGAGAGGGCAAGGACCCCTGAGCTGCCCACGTGGAGGCAGAGCCCAGCAAACCTTGTCTGGGTGCACGTGTGCAGTGAGTGGGTGGTTCGAAATTCACCAGTCAGAGATGCCTTTCTCCTGCCTCAAGGGAGAGCATGGGGGAGGTGGCGGTGCTCCTTCCCCTCAGCTTCCCAGAGGCCACCGTTACTACTTCATGACTTAGGTTAGGAGGATGTGTTGATGTCCCTCCCAGCCCATGGGCATGTCCCCTTTTTGTGTCATCAGCAGGTGCGGGCTTCTTCACTGCCCTAGGAACCCCTGCGTCTTATGTGCCTGCGGAAATGTACCCTTTCGGCCTCCAAAGGTGACATTAGCAGCCAGGGGCCTGGTCACAGTCTGCCGGGGCCCCTGCTCAGCACGCAGGCCGCATCTGTGCCTTGGAGTGGACCCTTCCCCATGGGCTGGTGTTATCCCAGATGTGGTGGGCTTGGCGGGGTCGCCCTGGTGGCTGCTCTGCGTCTTTCCCCAAGGAGTGTCACATTCAGCTCACTTGCTGTCCTCCTTACACAGTTTTTAGCTGGCATGATAGGTCTTTTCTAGTTTTGTCAAAGATGGCACTTCTGCTGTTTCTTTTTCTCTGCGATTGGTGGGTTTCAAGAGAAACGGCCTAACATTTAAATGACTAAACTTAAATATAAATTGCATCGGTACATATTGATTTCAATGACGGAAGATCATACCATGAGGACTGTAGCTTGCCTAATTTGTCAGGTGACTTTCAGGTTGGGAGGTCTAAGTACATTCCTTTCTCCTGAGCATGAAATAAACGTTTGTTAATTATTACTTCTTTCTGCAGTTGTCCCTCACATTACTGATGCGGTCCAGGAGTGGGTTATGAATCAAGCCAAGGTGCCCGTGGACGGTAATAAGGAAGAGCCCCAAATATGCGTTATTGAGGCAAGCATGGAACTTTTCTTTGTAAACTTGTATCCTGCTGGGTCTTTAAGCATCTGACACTGGGCTAAGAGGTGGGATTACAGCAGGGAACAACATAGATGGCTCCTGCCCTTGTGGTCACAAGGCGGTGGGCAAGATTGTCATTAAACAGATAATCACGTGTACTCCTGGGGTGGGCGTGCAGTTATCCGTGTGTGGAGACGGATCAGGAGATCATCAAGTCAATGTTAGGGCCTCTTCTATGCTGGGGCCTGGGATGGCACAGCCTCTGCCCTTGAGCTTGCAGATGTGTATGTCCATACATGACAAACTGTATTCTAGCGTGTGCTTTTCGGAAGTATTTGCAAAGTGCTTTCGACGTAGAGAGACCTTGAGTTAGGGAAGTCAGATGCTCGGATAAGTGAGTATTAGCTGTTTAAAGAAAGGAAGTGGTATTTGAACTTGCACTTGTTCAATGCTTTCACCTTCTTCCCTTCCGCTTCATGTGCAGAATGAGAATAACATCCATGTCCTCCTCATCTAAATGCCAGTTGACCTGATTGCCAAGCAGGAGAACAGAATAATGAACAACTTGGTTGCTAGAGTTAGGCTGCCTGGGTTCACGTATCTGCCATGAGCCCCAGGCCATGTATAGCTCAGTGGTTAAGAGTCTGGACTCAGACTGCCTGGGTTTGTAGCCCAGCTGGGTGACCTTGGACAAGTTTGCTTAACTTCTCCATGCCTCAGTTTACTCATCT